CTTTTTTTCCCAGAGTATAGCTATGAAAATGTATGAAAGTGGGGAGACACCGGAATTTGTTGGTAGAGCCGTCGTTGCACTAGCTTCTGATACCAGTATTCAGAAGAAAAGTGGGAAGGTGTTGTTAACCGGAGATTTGTGTAAAGAATATGGGTTTACTGACATTGACGGTATGATACATCAAAAAATCTCTTTTTTAGATTTTTCTTCACTTTTTTGCTTTCTATATCTAACTTGTATTTTTTAAGGCAAAGTTCCTGCAAACATGAGGAGTTTGAAAAGTGCATTGGAGTTTTTCGGCTACTCAAAAGCTGCTAACTGGGTTCCGCCATTTCTCAATATACCTTCTGTTGCGCTACACTTGTCTACATATAAATTTTGACATGGAGTTGTAGAATATTAAGTTTTGTATGTGAGTTAAGTGACTGGAACCAATTGCTTAGACTTATTACCTTAATCTTTCCTTAATATTTCCTTTTCTTTTTTCTTTTGAATAGAGAGGTGTTAGGGGAAGATAGTTTGTCACTGTATAGAACCTGTAGCTCTATTGCAGACAATATCTGACTCAGGTGTCTGAAGCATTAACTAGGCTGTCTTTAGTTTTGTGCTGCAGCATTTTATTCATAAATTTATTTTATTATATGATGAATCATCTCAAATTTACTATGGGTTTTCCGTGTGCAGCAAATGACACAGCAAATTTACTGGTAATGGGAATGGACTTGATTTATGTCATATTTTATATAGCTAGGATGGACTAAAAACAATTTTTGGGACCTATTTTTTTGTAAGCATAAAAAGACTGTTTTTTCCCCGTACTTGGGATATTTGTGAAAAAACTAATTTTTTCAAGAGGCTTCTTGTTATGCTGCCTGAGAGCATCTTTTGATTTGAAATTCATAAAAAGAAAGAAAGGCAGTTGTAGACGATCAAAGCTTGGAGAACGCACTGGTGGGCTGTGTAATTAAGTTTATTAATAGTACTCAAGCAGTGTTATGATACTGCAAATGAGATTGTGACTAGTTAATTCCCATTTGGTGTCGTGGGACTGTCGTCATTAATACATGCGTACAACCTTTCCTTGTAGTCAGGCGATGGTTCATCCAACATTTCAGCTATGATCTTCTTTTGTTTTAGAAAATCAAACACAGCACGTTCATGAAGCAAAAACACCTGAGCGTCAGTGCTGCCTGTTCGTAACGCCCTAAAAACACGTGCGCTGACAAAAAAAAGATGGACGCGTCCTTTGAGTTCTGGAGCCTTCGTGGACATTATCCGTTCAAATCTAAGATACCCTGCAAGTTGGCACTTTTTTTGTCGTCCACATCGTTGGGTGAAATTGGTAGAGGTAGCGTTCTTACTTACCTTTATCAACTACTTGCTGCTTCAAAACGTCGCCTACAGGAATCTCTTCGCTTCGCGAACGGGCCATTAGAATCCTGTCGCATTTTGAGTTTAAAAATACTATAGTAGCATTCCTGTAGGACATTTCAAATTTAAAATCTTGGAGATATTATCGGACCTTTTTTAAAGTTTTCCGAAAAGGTCCTTGAAGTTT